GACAGCGTAACCTCACACTCCCGTGTGGTTGCAAGTCGCGCTTAAATATTTCATTAAATATTTTCCAACGTTAACATCGGATAGAGTTGGTTTCCCTCATGGCAAGCAGCACGCCCGTCTTCGTTTTGTACTTAAGCTTTGATTACCAGCCAAACGGACGTTAGCGTTAGCTTACTGGGGCGTCATGCTCCACAGAGCATGACCAGGAGAAGAGTTTTTTTGTTTCGTCTAGCGCAACCAGTGCGTAGCCAGGGGAAAGGGATGGCTGAAAATGGCAAAAATGCGTAACTAGATTTATGTGCGACTCCTCATGGTTCGAATACTGGCTTGAATGTGTAGCGCTAATTCCTCGCCAGCTTGTAACTCATCGTTTTAAATTTTCTCTCGTCGCATTCACTGGTTTAAATTTCCAGTGCCAAAACCTCAACGGTTCGTAATTCACGTGTTCGCCGCTCCGGCTCCCAGCATTCCGCCCGCGCGAACACACGCACACGGCGATGTAGAGCCGGCACACACTTGGCCAGCACCGTCGCAGATTTAGCCGTCCCGGTTGTCGGCCGCGCGCACCGGCAGATGGCCGCCGGCCCCCGCTGGCGCCGTGGGCCGGCTGCAAGACAGGCGCCAGCCGACCATGGCATAACGGCTGGCCTAATCCGCAGTCACCGCAGCCGCCTAATGTATCCCATCAGCAGGCGCCATCTGCATGTACGCAAAGTGCACGAGGGAGGCAATGAATGCACGCGTGCACATATGGGCATTCATACCCTCCTTCGTGTCCCACATGTACGCGCCATTCATAGCGCGTACATGTGCACGTACGCACGCACGCGCAGGCATACGCACAACTGTAATGGCACGGCTGTTTTGCACTTAAAGGCGAGCGTCGTCAACGCGCTACTGCAGTGATGAGCTGCAGCGCAGCGCCCGTGAACGTGCTGCCGCTGTCGCTGCCGCTGGTGATCGACGGCAGGCCGATTACGTGACAGCCACAGGTACGCTCGTGACTTCAGCGAGCATGGTGACTCTCGCCAATACACGCAGACAATTGGATGGTGGCTCATCTTCGGCGGTACAGCTGAAGACTTCGCACCGCGTCTGGGTCGGCTTGAGACATACGGGGGTAAGGGGGTCACCATGAAACTTCGTACCGATATTTAAGTCTTCAAACAAGTAGCACGGCGCTATTTGCTCCTCTTACAAGCTCCAACTGAGCCAGTGCTGTTAAATCGATCCACTTCGTCTACTCCTGCGGCCAGTATCCTTCAGGAACTTGTGTAACTGTCACCACGCGTACGCTGAGACGGAGAGAGAAGCGCGACTGCTCGGCGACAGCGTTCCGTGCCGATGACCCCCCCCCCCCCTCCCCCACTCGACAGCGTTCCGTGCTGATGTTCTCCCTTCCCAGGCCGTGCCCGGTGCCCGCCGGGCGGCACGGTCCCGGCAGCGGCACGCCGCGCCGGTGTCGGCGCACATTCCGCCGCTGCCGCCGTCCGGGCGCGCGGTGGAAATTCTCGGCGACGCTCCGTCTCGTGAGGCGCCGCGCTGAGGTCGGCGCCGCTGACATTTCCGGGTGGGTCGCCCGGGGGAGGGGGGGGGGGGCCGCGCCGCCGGCGACCGGCGACGCTCCAGTCCGGGCCGGCGGCCGGCGGCAAAACTCGGCGGAGAGAGAGAGAGAGAGAGAGAGAGAGAGAGAGAGAGAGAGAGAGAGAGAGAGAGAGAGAGAGAGAGAGAGAGAGGAAGGTATGGAAGCAAATGAAGGTCTGAGTGGTTCAGGAGTGAAAACAATATGATGCATTGGGAAAAAGCTGGATAAAAAGGATGGTAGAGCATGACTTACACTAATGGTGATTTTATGAAACAGCGAAAGCTTTTTGGAAACCCTTTGTTGACTCACGCTAGGCGAGCAGAGATGCCCTTTTTGCCACGATCTTCCAGGACCAGGTCAGAAAACAAGGCACAGCAAATGCCAATGCATCTCATTTGTCGTTTTTGATGTGTCGATATAGAACATTGCCAAAGTTCATCTATTTTCAATGTTTCTAGGAGTTTGATGATCATTTTCCAAACCATCATTCCACTTCAAACATACAATCACACACAGTACATGCATAAAAGATCGATTTTAA